CTTTCGTCTTCTTCACTGGTTTAGTTTTGGCGCGAAGTGCGATATACGGGGTAGTGTGCCTCGCTTTCACGCGCAGTAACAAAGCACTCGACCCAGTCTTGAACACGATCGAAGCAGACTTCCAGACATGCTGTAGTTGTATAAAAGCAAATGGCAGGAAGAAAGAGAAGTTGGGATCGAAGCGAAATTGTTCGTTGTCACTGCAGTGAACTTTCGTACACTCATGTCCATTGCCCCTGCAGATCATGTAGTGGAAAGCCTGTCTCAACATCAGTTGAGTATAGACACTGGACGTTACAAAATTCCTTGCAGTCCATCAACGTTGTCTCTCTAAGGTGAGTTTGCAAAGCTACAAGATTGCATTCTAAAGCTTTCAGTGTTTGTTTCATGATTTTATGGAATGGCAATTCTCTCATTTTATACAACTTTTACAAAAAGAACCGTGCCCAATGCAAGCTGTCACAAAATTACCCGTTATATGAAGAAAACGCGGCTTTTACAGGCGGGTAAATTAAAGCCACAGCCATGCCGGCACGAAGAACTCACTGAATAACTTCTTAAAATATCTTGCTTATGTGTAGAATGTTTTTACTCACGTAAGAAAAGAGTTTAACACCCGGAGGATTGGTTTGGGACACCAATTAATTTGCATGGCCGCCGTGACGTCAAGTGAAAACACTCTATGTAAAGCTTATTGGTTACCGAATTGTTCTCACAAGATAAACTTAAGACGTGATCTTTTCTGTAAGAGATTTTGTTGTTCAATGAAGACCCTTTTGTCTTTGACTTTTCTTTCTTTTGTAATTGACAAGGCAACGATCAATACACACAAACAGTTGTTATCAGTGGCGGATCTTTGGGAGGGGCCTGCTCCCCCTCCCTCGCTTATTTTTAGACCAAACTGTGACCTGAAGGGCCGAAAAAAGTTTTTTTGAGATCGTCCCCTCCTTATCTCACGCCACTGGTCATCTCCTTGTTCATTTTGCTATATTTACTTCTTTTTGGTTCATAAAAATTTGCTTGGCTGTAGAAGTTTATTAAAACTGCTAATATGAGATAAAATTTGCCTGCACAGCTCTGAGGCAGAACCAGAAGAGGAGTCCTTTGAAGGAAATGACGTTATGGACAGCTGTGCAAGTGCTGATGGTGGTGACAGTGATGATGACTTCTTGGAATCCAGTAATGGCAATGGTGTACCAGAGTGTTCATCTCTAGACCAGCAACAAGAAGAACAAAGTTCAGATGAGACAGAGTTGAAAGAAGAAATTGTATGTGTCATATGTAAAGCCCTGATGTTAGTAAACCAAATGCACGGTTCATGCAATGACTTTGAGGATGTCTTAACTTTTGCGAAAGATTTATTTTTCCGTAATGACTGCAATCGCTCTGCTTTGAATTATTGGCCAAGGAATTGGAGAGAGACTGAGAAGCTTTTAAAAGAATTTGATTACAGAGGGCCAAAAGAATATTTCATATGTCTTGATGGAAGTCACCCATGTCATTGGGATTTAATGGAGTCACCTTCTTCCCTCTGCAAACATTGTGGAAGACCAGGGTCAATCAAGTATTATTATCTTGGCCTGTCTGACAAGATTCGGACATGGTTCTCTGATGTTAATATGTGCAGGAAAATGTTAGCTCACTGGGTGAACAGAGATAATTGGATAAGTGGTACTGGATCAAATTTTCTGTTGAAAGAAGTCTGGGATGGTAGTCGCTTTAATGAACTGTCATGGTTTTGGAACCCAGAGTCTGAGTGGATGTTACCATGCCGTTGTGAATGCTGTGGTATTGTTATCAGTGAAAAAGAAATCAGGCAATCTCCGGAAAGAGATGGAGTGTACACATTGCAGTGTGATGAATGTGGAACTAAGATAGACTATCAAGCAAAGTTTGTTCGAGGTGAACCCCGAAATATTGCTCTTATAGGGCACTGGGATGGTTGGCAACCATTTGGAGCACCTGGTCAACATAGCTGTGGTAAGTTACTTTCTATAAATAACAGTATGTACCTCTCCAGGGCCTTGTTGTTTGAAAGGCAATTTAACTAAATGTGTAGTCGAGGATTAGCTGGAATATTGATTCCAATGTTGTAACTCTTTATTGTGAGGTTTCTTGCTTTAATTTTTTGTCCGTCTGTGTTTTGACTGTACAAAACGTTAGCATGCAGTGAAAAAACCTTGAATCCAAGATAAAATAAACTTTGATTGACTTTTATTTGATGATTAGTGTTATGACTTTGAACAATATTGGACCCAGGATTTCCTAATGCAATTTTCAATATTATTGTTTAATGTTGTAGTGTGTCGACTTGTTAAAAAGTGGTTACTGTATGTGTGTGCCACATTGGAAGAAGAGTGGAAACTACACAAATCAAACCCCTTCTACTAACTGTCTTATTTGTAGTGAATACTGTGCATGTGGAGCTGCACATTTAATCCTCACGACTCTTTGTTTTGTCATTTGAATATTCTATCTTGTTTTAAGTCCATCAATTAATAGACTTTACTGAAAATTTTTACAATGATAATAATCACTGCAACTCTGCACCTGTTGTCTCTATTTAATCAAATTGTTTGTGTGCAAACTGTACATCATACTCTAAACAAATTCCTTAGAAATCAAACTTTAACTATTTTTAAGTTAAAACTTTGTGGTCAAAAGTTACAATTAAAACATAACACATTGTTTCTTTCCACTTCTATTGTCAATGCAGGTGCTATAGAGGTTTCTATAGCAAACATGTATAAAGAAGAAAGGTGTGCAACTGAAGAGGTCTATGTGGTTGACTTTGTACCAAGTCACATGCTGCCCAAAAAACGACCCAACTCATTGGATCCTTTTCTTGAGCCTCTTGTCTCTGAGATTGAGAACATCTTTATTGATGGTAAGGCCCTCCTTTAATTTATAAACAAAAGAACATAAAGTGCATTTTGGAAGCAATCATACATGTAGGAGAAGCCTCTACATAGTGCAGAAACAGCGTTTGTTTTGCTATTGTTGTAGTTGTTGGTTCTAGCTTTATATACTGGTGTGTAGAATTTTCTTTCTGTTTTAAGGACTTCCAGGTCTCCTCTTACCCTATCCCCTGCCCCCTTCCCCTTCGGGCATTAAATAATTATTACTTATCTTATAAAAAACATTTTCAGTGGAAATAATGGTAGAAATATTCTTTTTAGTGTTAGTACTGGACATGAATTTCTGTGTTCAGTAAATGATGCTGAATTGAAAAGCCTTTCACTGGAAAAAATAGCTATGCCCTGAGATTGATACGTTCACATTCAATCAAGCTTTTATTGTCTGTCAACAGGTTATAAGGTGTACTATGCTGGCAATTTCCCTGAGTTGAATTTGCTTTCAAGTGATATTAATGTACGCATTTTGCTTCTTCTTTGGACCGGTGACTATCCAGCCCAAAGTGAGGTCGGAAAGTTTATCAACGGAGGAATACTGGCATGCAGAAGAGAAAAAATTAAAGGTGAGCAGGAAAATTATGTCATATTAATCTGTTAATTCTCAAAAGATTACCACTTATCCAGGTCATGAGATATTTTTTTGGGTTGTTGAGTCACTGGCATTGTCATGAATGTTAGCTGACACTTTAGATGTCCACACATTAATATTGCTGAAATTAGATCTTTTTAAACACAAAGGTGATCAACTGCAGATGTGGACAAATGAAACATTAATGGAGTGATAAAATTCAAGTGTGTTATAAAACCATAGCACACTGTCATTTAATAAGCTTTTATATTAAGAATTTTTTTTTACTGGGACATGTGTACATGTAACAGGTACTATTAACCCAAGTGGTACAGGGACAACCTACTACTATGGACAAAACCGTTTTGCTGCTAGATTCCCCCCAGAGAGTCGGAAACTTGTGACAGAAGTTGCTAAAATGAAAGAGATTGATGCTGAAGACCGCCGAACTGTTCGTGAAAGATTGAGCAGAGACACCGGTTACACAGGGTTAAGCATCCTGCATCGCCTTAACAGCTTGTATGGTTTTGATGTAATCAGAGACATAGTCTTTGATGTGATGCACAACCTTCCATTAAACATTGTTGGATGTAGCCTCAAACAGTTAATTGCTGAAGGAAAACTTGATGTCAAGGAAGCAGATGAGCGACTTTCAAACTTTCCTTGGACAGCAGGTATTTTCTACGTTGATGCTACCTACAAAAAGAATTATGGACTGATTGAATAAGGAGGACTAAGTATGTTATCATATAGCCACTCACTTTCACAATTTTGATAAATGCAGCCACAGTGATTAACACTAATCTTGATTAAACGACTCATGCTGGAGTTGGCTACAAAGAGTGCTATTCACTCCTGGACAGAATGTTTTGTTCTTAATGTGGAATTTCACATAAAATTAAGAAGAATCATGCTAAAAATAATCGTATCTATTTTTTGTCCTTGATATTGTGTGGGAAAGAATGGATTGATATCTGTGAACTGTGTTAGGAAGGAATCCTCACGAAATTGAGTAATTTCAACTTTCAGTGGACAAAAACCTTGTACCGGAACAGTTTAAACAATATTGCATTCTTTTTTACATTTTCAAGTGCTATAGATATAATTAATTATCTGTAATAACACCAAAGACTATTTCTCATGGGAACCAAAGAAAAATCTCAAGTTCAATTTCTGTTATTATTGTGCAGTGCACCCTGTTTATCATACAGTAGCTGCTTTCAGTATGACATGCATAGTGGCTACCCGTATGGCCATCTTTCTACATCTGTCTTGACCTGTTATTATTTTGAAATAAACCGCACAACATGCAAAGGCTCTAAAGTTCATGCTAGTGGTCTGATTAGTGGATTTCTATCTGTCGTGTTTGTTTAGCCTCTAAATTGACAGATATGTAGTCACTATGCATGTAACACTTAAAGCAGTTAAAGCAAGTACATGTACATATCAACCTTGCTGTTTTTATTATTATTTTTTTATTTTTTATTTTTTTTTCATGATTATTGTCATGTTTATAACCTTTATCAAGTCAAGATATCCACTTTTAACACTCTTACAGATGTAGTAGGTTTACTTTTTGATAGGGGAGTTTAATGTGTATGTCCTCTTGCCTTTTTGTGTTTAGAACTGAAAGATGGCCGCATTCCTCAGGGGTTGTCTTCCCGGCTAGGTTACTGGAAAACTGAGGAATTTCAAAAGTTTTCTTATCCTGTGTCGGAATTGTTGCTAGCTGGCTTACTTGAGCCAATGGAATATCATTTGTGGCAGCTAACTGCAAGAATGACAGAGCTTATCTTCAACAAACGAAATGGTTGGTCCCTTGATGATCGTCTCTTGTTCCAGAATTTGGCAAAGCGTTATGTCATCCTTAATGAGGAACATTGAGGCTTGACTGCTTGTAGGATAACAGTCCACAACCTGCAGCATATTGCTGAGGATGCCTATCAGTTCTCTCATCCAGACAATTACTGGTGTTTCCCATATGAACGTGCTGTGAAACGATATGTCAGCATTTCAAGTAACTTCAAGAATATGGAGTGTTCCTTTGCCAAACGGGAAGGCTATAGAGAACTTCTTAAACTGTTGAGAGGTCGTATCCAGCCCCAAGAAGAAACTAACTTCAAGTTTGATCTTGAAAAGGCAAGTATATACATGCATTCGTTACTGTTCACAATAACTTATATGCATATTGTTTCATGTGAAGTAGGCAGCTCAAAAATCAAAGAAGCTGGTTATTTAGCCGGAGGCTGGCACTTAATGAGAACCGAAAATAGAATGTGCATGTACCTCTCCACTTATCAGCTCTTTAATACTCTTAAAACTGAACCATCAAGCCTTATCTACAGCAGACTTTTTGCACTTTGTTTTACACCATAATCAGATTCTGATAAATTTTTTGTTCTTTAATTGCTGTTATTGTTTTTTTTTTTTTCAGATGTGTGCCAAATCCTTGGAAGGTGCCAAATATATCGAGAAAATGTTGACAACGATGCCTTTGTTAGAAAATAGCTACAAGGAGGGAGTTTTTGTTGGTGGGATGCTCTTCAATGAAGTACAGTTTTCACAGGAAGATCTTGACTTGATTAATAGTAATTCATTAGATTCAACTTCGCTTTTTGTTCTACCAGATATTGCCTTCTCTTTCCGAAGCTTCTGGAGGCCTGTTCAAACTTCAAAAGGCATGCTGTACCGAAATGGAGAACATATTGTTTGTGAAGTTGGTGCTCATGAATATTTTTGCCAAATAACAAATTTCTTGTGCCTTAATTCTGAGGGAGAGTTCTTTAAGTTTGTGAAAGTCAAGAAATTCACTCAGGAAGTCGATGAGGATGGTGACCCTGTTTCTGATCCTTACAGTGGAGGCTTGGTGATTGACAATGCAAATGTACAAGACCTCCTTGTTCCTGTCAAAGCCATTTTAAGAAAAATTATTCTCTACAATTCAGCTGATGATGAACATCCTGATAGAAGGATAGTAGTAGACTTCCAACGGGAAAACCTACCAATTTCACATCTTGATATTCTTGTGCCTTTCTTCCCACAAGTTAACGACATGATTTTCATTAAAGGAGATGACCCCAGTCCTTGGTTGGCAAAGGTGTTGACCATCCAAGAAAGAGCAAAAACTGTGAAAGTTTGGTACTATATAGAAGACGTTGAAAGACCAGGTGAAAACCTGTATGTACCATCTCGCAATACACGACAAGCACAGGATTTTGTCTCATGGGACTCTGTTATGTGCCTAGCAAGTGGTGAATGGAGAGGGGGTGCTTGGGAAATGGAATGATTACATTGTAAACTTGCAGATTTGCTTACGCATAAAGTTTTTTTTTTCTCAATGCAGCAAGTAGTTAATGAGATGGCTCATTCTCCAAATAACTCAAATTAGAGTGGAATAATTTTCAAAAGGGAAAGCAATTTGAAATATGCTACATAAGAGTACTGTAGTTAATGTATCTCTTTTCCCATAATACATGACTGAGTATAGTGAGTTCTTTTTTGATGAGAAAGGTATTTCCAATAGTTCTTAGTGTTTAACATTTGAAATGAGCTATTAGTTCACAGTAATTACGTGTTGTAAATTCTCACACATGGTTTTTAGTGATTGAGGGGCATTAATTTATAGACTTTACAACTTAGCAAGCATAGTTTACAAACACTGTAAGTACTCCCTTGTAACTGCATTGTACCTATCATATCCATACGTGGAGTTTTCATGTAAGTTTAATAATCATTTACAGTACCAGCCTATTTTTCTTTCTTATTCAAATGGTGTTCAAAAACCCATAATGATACAATGATTTTTGACTGATGAGAAAGAAGAAATAAAGGTAATGGTAATTATACAAAATGGCATGTTAAGGCTTAAAATTTACAGCTGATGTGCCATGAATGTTTTTTGGGAGTTTCCTGTGAATGGTAAATTTGTGAGAGCAGGTCCAGAGAACCATAAATGGTTATTGCACAAATTACATGATGGGTTCTTGTGAAATGTTAATTTACAGTAATGTGTTCTAAATTTCCAGGAATGGTTTTTTCAGTATTTCTGTGAATGGTATTAAAAAACCCATGAATGGTAACACCCATGTTTGGGTTTTCAATGAATTTTCATTTTAAATGTGGATTTTCAAATACAAGAATGGTTTCTCCCTATTACACATGATGGTATTTGCAGAATTAACATTAGTGGTTAATTATTAAGAATGTTAAAAGTAGAAGATAGGAGAAGATACCATTAATGTCAAAATTTGTAAATGGTATTTCAAGAAAAAACATGATGTTTCCTTAAAATTCACTAATGTTTTTTTGAAATTTTTCCCTGTGCATGCAGCCCTTCATATGCACATTACCTCTATTTCATTTATGCTCATAAATTTTACTCATGTATGCACGTAAAAATTACACGACAGTGGAAATCTGCCTTAACTCTAAGGGCCTGTTTACATGGAGGTGGGAGACTCCAGGTAAGGGAGATAACCTGCTGTGTGGGGTAAACTGCCTTTCCATAAAATCTCTTATATGGTCACCCCATCTATCATGTAAACATTATCAAATTCAAATCCAGTTATCCCACCTAAGGTTAACACCCGCGTTAACCTGTTTACCCTTCATGGGCAGGTTACCCAACCTTAGTGGGTTAGCTCACCCACGTGGGGTCCCCTACTTCCATTTTCACAGTTCCTAATGGAGAGACGAACACCCCCCGGGGGGGGGGAATTCTAGATTTCAAGTGATGGGGATGATTGAATGGGGGCAAAAATCAAAACCCAAGCAAAATCCATAGGGCTTCCAACAAAATGCAAAGAAATCCCTGGACCAAAAATTAACCCTCCAAATTTCCAAGCCTTAAAAATTTCCAGAAAGCATTAAATTATTTAACATGAAAACAAGGTTTTTAAAAGCAAGTTTGGTTGTACTTTGTTTGAAGAACTATGTGGCCTGGATATGCAGGTACTTCCACCAATCTTCAGATTGTTTTGAATATCAAAAAAAAATCCCTACTAAAATCAAGCCACCAAAAAAAACCGGTTGCCAAATTTCTTACCCGGAATCAAAAATTTCACACCCAAAAAAATCCTTTGATGATCCCCGTCACTTGAAATCTGGGGTACACCCTCTTGGATGAACACCCAGATCTTTTAGTGACACTTAACCAGCATGGAATTTCTGGAGTCATTCCTCGCCATCATTCCATGCGAAACTGGTTGTGGCATTAATTGCCAACTGTAGGCTGTTCTCTCAAGGTAATTATTTGTTTTTATCTCTGTTTGTGAATAATGCCTTTTTAGTCCCCAAGGAAAGCTTTCCTTGCAAATTGAAATTGTAAGTTAAGCATTTAGATGACTTTGCTTACCAATTATCACTTTGATTCCATGTTTGTAAAATTGGTGTGATTTTAAGAATGGCAGCTGAAGTACTTAACTACTACTGGTACCTTGGATTATGTATTGAAATATTATATGTTTGCTTAATGAATTTTTAGATTATCCTTCAACTGACATCACCTATAGCAGTTCAGATGAAACAGTCACCTTTGGATTTTCCTCTCCTCTTCCAAAAGGAAGAGGTTTACTGTCAATGGATTTCACTGGTCAACTAAATGACAAATTAAAAGGATTTTACAGAAGTAAATACACTGGGGAGGATGGCAGTGAGAAATTCTGTGCTGCGACACACTTTGAGGTACTTTAAAGACTAGGAGGTGACAGTGCTAAGGCAAAAGCATGATTTTGTATTTTATAGTACTTCAGTTTATAAAACTAATGCATTTGTGGTATATATTAAGTAACAAACTACATGTACACAAGCAAGGACATTATGAGTGGGGAAGGGTGCAATATAATTTATACTGTATATAGTACATGTAGAACAAATTGACTTTCTCTGGTGTACACCTAATTGCAGTAACGTTGTCCTAAAAAATGAAAAAAGGAAAAAGCCAAATAGGAATTAATGTGGATAATGAAACCACATTCTCAGCGTGGATTCATTTGCAGCCGTTGCATTTCCCCGCTGGAATATTTTTTTTATTATTGTTTTTTAGTTTTAAAACAATAGCAAATTCCAACAGGGAAATATGATGTCTATGTGCGGATGCTGCAAATGAATTCATAAGGCTCATGAGCCTAATTAATTCCTATTTGGCTTTTTCCTTTTTCATTTTTTCCACGACAACGTTTTTGCAATTAGGTGTAACTCTACAATGTATTTAATTCATACACACACACACATCAAAGTCAGATAAGTTAGAATTGAGTATTAAAGGTACAGGAAAAGTGCCTTTTTGAACAGGATTTTGGGTGATTTATTCAAAACAGAAAGAGGGCAATCGTTCCAATAGTATTTGCCAATGACAGTAAGGTAGAACTTTTGAATATTAGTTCTTGAGTGGGGGAAAATGGAATGGGTAATTGCTGAGCAGATGCACTTCTATGCATTAACTGGTTGGGTGACTCCAGAGTGACTCTCACTGGTGAAAGGGATTCACTCCGGTGGCTCAAATTGGTCAGAATTTTCTTCTCTGAAAAACTTTTTAGTACACACAACCACATGCAATAGAAATAAGAAATTAACACAATTATTTATTAACTTAAGTTATTTTAATTCAATTCCGGAATCAGTGTTCATTTCCTATACTGAGGTCATTTTAAAAGTAGAGTCCCTCTTTGTTTGTCAATTACAGCCCACAGGTGCACGCCAAGCCTTCCCCTGCTGGGATGAACCAGCTCTTCGCAGCACTTTTGACATCACTTTAATTGTGCCAGAAGACAGAGTTGCATTGTCAAACATGGTAACCTTGTTTTGACTAATATTTATTTGGTTGCAATGTTAGAGTAAAAAATCAAAGCTCTGAGAAGTTAAAGGTGATTTACATCAAGCGTTTCAGTTTTTGTTTTATGCAATACTCAACTATCAATGTAAGACAATTTAAGTAAAGTATAGTACAGTACAGTTAAAATCTCCAGACAGTAAACCTGTCAACCATGGAGTTGCACTGGCGAAAAGTTGGTGAAAAGTTGCTGAAGCAAACAGTTCAAGCCTTTGAGGGGATGTGTCAGCTCGAGAGCGTGCGCACTGAGGTTATGCAAATTACTTTCATGAGAGGATGTGACAAAAGATGAACCAGTCTTTCTTGGCTGAAAAGAACCGATGCGAAAAAGCCCAGAAATGAATGGACTAAAAGAGGGTGGGGGGAAGTGGGGGGGGGGGGGGGGGGAGGGTTTTTTCCTTTTTTAAAACAACGGCGGGGGGGGGGGGGGGGAAAGGGGGGGGGTAAGTTTAAAATCGGGTTTTTTTTTCCACGGAGCTCGCCGGGAATTTAAAGGAAAAAACCTAAAAGGGCCCGGAAAAGGCAACTACTAAAAGTGGGGTGGTGGGGTGTGGGGGTTGGGTGTGTGCTTCGCTGGCGGGGGGGGGGGGGGGTGTGTAATAAAATTTTATAGGGGGGGGAGAGGAAAAAAAAGAGAACTTGTTTTTTGTGGAGAAAAGAAACGGAGAAGAAAACCGCAAGAAAAAGAGAGAAAAGGGGGGGGGGGGGGGGGGGGGGGGGGGGGGGGGTGGAAGTGTTATTTCCTTTTCTAAAACATCGGCGTGCGCGGAGTGCGAGAAAGGTGGTGATCAGTATTAAAATCGGTATTTTTTATCACGCGAGCTCGACGGAATTTGAAGAGAAAACACTGAAAGGGTCCGTGAACAGGCTACTACTAATAGGAAGTAGAATATAACCCCTACAATTAAGGCTAAAAGCTCGATCTCCTGTCAGCAGCTGTGTTGTTGTGGCAGTATTTAAATTGTTTAATTTTTGTCAGTTGTATCATGAAAAAAAAACATGCTCACCGGAGAAACCTCTTTAAATATTTTTTTAGTTTGATTGGCTAAAAGAAAAGGAAAACTAAATGTTGACTAATCATCTTTTCGTAGGTAATTTGTCAGTTAAGTTGACCGCTGATTTTGTGACTGATTTGATTAACAAAATAGAGAAATAGATCTACGGCAACATGGAATCTATTTTTTAAACAGCAAACACCAAAATGCCAACCGTGCGCTATGTTGAACAAAACAAAGAAAAACAAGTTTCTAGTGACGTCATCCATGCGCCTACACTCTCAATAGATCATAGACAACGGCCAATCACAGCGCGCATAATATCCAATACGTTATATAATTTTATTTGCAGAATGTAATAGAAGAAACAAGTCACCCTAATGATACTTCCCTTAAGGTGGTCAAGTTTGCCAAGTCACCCAGTATGTCTACTTATCTGGTGGCTTTTGTTGTTGGAGAGTT